CTGAAGTATGAAGGTAGGGTGTTGGGCCAAAACCGAACTTACCGGTGTTAAGAGTGTAGCAGAACAAAAAGGAAAAGAAAAATTGGAGACCTCTACTAGCAAGAAACAAAATGTTAAATGTTTCAAGTGTCTGGGATTTCGTCACTATGTGTCTTAGTGCCCAAATAAGAGGGTAATGCCCATGCTGTCCATTGGAGAAATACAATCCGATTCTGAAGCAGAAGAATAAGAAGGTGAAAATATGTCACTAGCTAGTGCCTAGTGACAGTGGAGGAGAAGAATTAGCTGCCGAAGGTGAAGCACGAGTCATTAGAATAGTACTTAATGCTAAATTCAAGGCCGGTGAAGAGCAAAGGGAGAACATCTTGCACACCTGTTGCATTGTGAATGTGAAGGTTTGTAATCTAATCATAGATGGAGGTAGCTGCATCAATGTGGCCAGTACAGAAATGGTGAGCAAGTTGGGACTAAAAACCAGCAAGCATCATGTTCCATACACACTTCAATGGCTCAATAATTCGGGATAGATCAAGGTGGACCAACAAGTGGTGGTGCCATTTACGATTGGGGGGGGATGAAGATCAAGTTATGTGTAACATAGTACCAATGGAGGCTGCACACTTGCTGTTTGGAAGGCCTTGCTAGTTTGACAAACATGCAATCCATGATGGTCATACCAACAAAGTCTCATTCAATCACAAAGGAAGACAAATTACCTTAGTGCCTTTGAGTCCTAGCCAGCTCCTAGACGAGCAAAGAAAGAAACAAAATAAAGCAAAACAAGAAGAAAAACGAGAAAACAAAAAAAAGAGGAAAAGGAGTGGGAAAAAGAAAAACAAAATAGAGGGAGAAAGGAAGACGTGAGTTTGATTTGTAAGAAGAGGGTAGTTGAGAAAGCCTTGAAAGCAAGAAGACCCGTGTATCTTTCCCTTTTTAAGGGTGAAAACTTTAACCTGACTAATCTCGAGAAACTGCCCGAGGCTATGACTTCTTTGTTGCACGAATATGGTGAGCTTTTTCCGAAAGAAATGCCAAAGGGCTTCCACCAGTAAAGGGAATAGAGCATCAAATTGATCATGTACCAGGAGCTCCCATCCCAAAACGCCCCTCTTATAGATGTAACCCAAAGGAAACAATGGAAATCCAAAGGCAAGTGGAGGAGTTACTCACAAAAGGGCATATACGGGAAAACTTGAGTCCATGTGCAGTATCGGTCTTGTTGGTGCCAAAGAAAGATGGAAGCGGGAGAATGTGCATAGACTGTTGAGCTATCAACAAAATCATGGTAAAGTACTGATTTCCTATCCCCCATTTAGATGAATGAAAAACAACATTTAAGACTAAGTAAGGTCTTTATGAATGGCTTGTGATGCCATTTGGCCTCACCAATTTACCTAGCACGTTTATGCATTTGGTGAATCATATACTAAGAGAAGACATTAAGAAATTCATTGTAATTTACTTTGGTGATATATTAGTATATAACAAAATTTTTGATGAGCATGTTGATCATTTGCGTGCCTTGTTTGATGTTTTAATTGAGAATAAGTTATATGCTAATGTGGAAAAGTGTGAATTTTGTACTACATCTGTTAACTTCCTAGGGTATATTGTTAGTGGTCAAGGAATTAAAGCAGACAGTGTTAAAATAAAAGCCATTCAAGAATGGCCCACCCCAAGATCAGTTAGTGATGTGCGAAGCCTTCATGGGCTGGCTAGTTTCTATAGAAGGTTTGTAAGAGACTTTAGCTCAATCACTGCACCATTAACTGAAATTGTCAAAAAAAATTGTAGAATTTAGTTGGGGTGATAGACAAGAAAAGGCATTTAACTTGTTAAAGGAAAAAATGTGTACGTCACATATTCTTGTGCTGTCTGATTTTATTTCCACTTTTGAACTAGACTGTGATGCATCCGGCGTGGGTATTGGGGTTGTTCTAATGCAAGGGGGGCAAACCAGTAGCTTATTTTAGTGAAAAATTGCATGTTGCCTGTCTCAATTATCCCACATATGATAAAAAATTGTATGCCTTGATCCATGCTCTAGAACACTGGGAACATTATCTGAGACACAAGGAATTTGTAATCCACACTGATCATGAATCACTCAAGTATTTACGAGGGCAAGAGAAACTTGATAAACAACATGCTAAATGGATAGAGTTTATTGAGTCTTACCCTTATGCGATCAAATATAAAACTGACAAAGAAAATGTGGTTGCTAATGCGCTATCACAGAGATATACTCTTATGACCACTTTGCATGCCAGATTTTTAGGATTTGAGCATGTCACGCCCTAGACGACATCTAAGCGCGTGTACAACCGCCATATGACCAAGTGACGTCACTCGCAAGTCAACGTGTCTTAGTCATACAAGGCGTCCATGAACATAACATATCCATACTCAGTAGTAAACATACATAACAACATCACAGTTTAGATTAATTGAATAGCGGAAATATTCAATAATCAATCGTGGGCCACCCATGGCCAAAACGTAAGCTCGCAGGCCAAAAACAATGTATTAATACAAAAGTATCCATGAGCATAGTTAATCGTTTGAAATAGTAAAGGAAGCACGAACTACGTCTTCCTCTGAATTCTCTTCACCCGTGCAAAGATGTAGATGACAAGTCTTAGCTTGAACCTGAAATGGTGCCCCCCCGAAGGGGTCAGTACAAGTACCGAGCGAGTAGCAATCTAAATATAGAATAACTAGTGTTTCAAGTATAAGACCCAAACATAGGGTGATACTTATATAAATAGTCTCTTCCCCCCAAGTTAAGAAATACTTAATAGTACATATACACTTGGAAAATACCCGATCCGTAGATCACCGTTTTATTTGGGAAAATATTAATAGCCAATATTGTTGACTAAAAACCCCAGCCCACCCATATACTTATGAGTGTAGAGGACTCCTCCTTATCTTTATTTCAAGTTTATAATATGAGTGTTAAGGACTTTTAGTCCTAGGGTCCTCCACCAAGTTTATAATGTGAGTGTTAAGGACTTTTAGTCCTAGGGTCCTCCACCAAGTTTATAATATGAGTGTTAAGGACTTTTAGTCCTAGGGTCCTCCACCATGTTTATAATATGAGTGTTAAGGACTTTTAGTCCTAGGGTCCTCCACCAAGTTTATAATATGAGTGTTAAGGACTTTTAGTCCTAGGGTCCTCCACCAAGTTTATAATATGAGTGTTAAGGACTTTTAGTCCTAGGGTCCTCCACCAAGTTTATAATGTGAGTGTTAAGGACTTTTAGTCCTAGGGTCCTCCACCAAGTTTATAATATGAGTGTTAAGGACTTTTAGTCCTAGTGTCCTCCACCAAGTTTATAATATGAGTGTTAAGGACTTTTAGTCCTAGGGTCCTCCACCAAGTTTATAATATGAATGTTAAGGACTTTTAGTCCTAGGGTCCTCCACCAAGTTTATATTTTGAGTGTTAAGGACTTATAGTCCTAGGGTCCTCCACCAAGTTTATATTTAATGCTCAACCTCCTATCAACCTAGATAGAGTCTATATCATATTCATAGCTAAATAACTTCATAAAGCTTATGTATTTCAATCCATGCAAAATCATGCATTTATATAAATTTATAATTAACTAATACCAACCGGTATTAATTAATCCATTATCAATCGGTCAACATTTTCGTTTACCGCCATCTCAATACTTGTATGTATCAATTTAATCATCATATAATTAAGTTAATAATATTCATTTGTGCTTCTCTTACACTTCAAGCAAATATGCATTTTATATAATTCCTCATATCATATTTCATGCATAAACAATTAATCCCTTTCATACAAACTTAACCATGTTGGCTAATCACATGTTTAAATACCTTTTAAACATAATTATGAACACATATAACATTTATTTAGGTAATCTCATAATTAACCCAAAAGTTATAAGATATTAAGCCATCCACTCACCTCAAATGGGCTTTTAGAAGTTCTACTCTTCTTAGTTGGACTCCGGCGAAACTCTGGCGAACTCCGGCGAAACTCCGGCGAACTCTAGAAACCCTTTAGTCGAGTTCCTAACAAGGATTTATCATCAAAACACCCATATCAATACAAATAACCTTTAAAAGGTTATTTTCCGGCGAACCGATCGTTTTGGTTATAAGTCCGTTCTTGGACTTTAAATCACCTTTCAACCCATCTTTCTACATATGTAAATATGTAGAACCACAACAAGGGCTCTTGATATGCTATATAAACCATATGATAGCTAAGGAATAGAGGGAAAAATTATTATAAGGTCATTACCTTAATTATCCAAGCTTTTCCTCACTTTTTCCTTCTTAAATCCTCTCTTTTGGACCACTTTCTTCCCGAGCTCGTGCTGCAACAATGGAGGCTGGTTTGAGAGCTCTCTCTTGCTCCTCTTTGATGCCTTTGTCAAGCACAATGATGAGGAAGGAGGGGGATGAGTTCCTTTTGTCTCATTTAGCTAATAAGTGAGAGAGGGGCCGTTTTAATGTCTCCAAATGTCTCCTACTCCCATCATGTGTACTATTGGCCTTCACTTGGTCCATTTGAGCACAAAAAACGTGGGGTGGCCCCCACTCATGTGGGAGATCATCCCTTTGTGTCCCGGTGTGTACAATCGGTCCCGAAAGTTGTATTTCTCGGACTGTTTTAATTATATTTTATTTTATCGGGTCAAATAAAATATAACACATGTTCCTACCCATTGTAGGCTTTTAGAATGGATGTACAATCCCCAACTTTAATTTAGAAGTTTCCGAAATCCCTTTCGGACCGTTATCCGATAAATTACCAATACTGGTAATTGGGCCTCATTTGACCGACGAGTCAACCCTATACCCTTTCCATGGCCCAACTAAAATATCCACCACCATATAAATATTATCTAGACTAATATGAATATAATATGTGGTCCCGGGATTATCGGGTGGTCCCTGCTCCCGATGCGGGCCCCGCGTGCAATTCACTATTCACGCAAAAGTAGTAACAAAAATTTTACAATCTCGTAATTTCATAAATCATTATTCAAGGTTCATTACATGATTTACTAAAAGTAAATATACTCTGGGACGGTGTTACAACCCATGTAACAATAGTTCAATGAACGTCAAAATACAATGCTCATGGTTTTCGGTAAAAGTTCCTTTTTGCAAAATCTCTTGTGAGAGGTTGATTACATAGTTTAGAACTGAGATGGCTTTGATATCACTTAATTGTCACGCCCCAGACCGCATCTAAGCGCGTGTACAACCGTCGTATGACCAAGTGACGTCACTCGCAAGTCAACGTGTCTTAGTCATACAAGGCGTCCATGAACATAACATATCCATACTCAGTAGTAAACATACATAACAACATCACAATTTAGATAAATCAAATAGCGGAAATATTCAATAATCAATCGTGGGTCACTCATGGCCAAAACGTAGGCTCGCAGGCCAAAAACAATGTATTAATACAAAAGTATCGATGAGCACAGTTTATCGTTTGACATAGTAAAGGAAGCACGAACCACGTCTTCCTCTGAATTCTCTTCACCCGTGCAAAGGTTTAGATGACAAGTACTCTTAGCTTCAACCTGAAATGGTGGCCCCCCCAAAAGGGGTTAGTACAAGTACCGAGCGAGTAGCAAGCTAAATATAGAATAACTAGTGTTTCAAGTACAAGACCCAAACATAGGGTGATACTTATATAAATAGTCTCTTCCCCCAAGTTAAGAAATACTTGATAGTACATGTACACTTGGAAAATACCCGATCCGTAGATCACCGTTTTATTTGGGAAAATATTAATAGCCAATATTCTTGACTAAAAACCCCAACCCACCCATATATACTTATGAGTGCATATGACTCCTCCTTATCTTTATTTCAAGTTTATAATGAGTGTTAAGGACTTTTAGTCCTAGGGTCCTCCACCAAGTTTATAATGTGAGTGTTAAGGACTTTTAGTCCTAGGGTCCTCCACCAAGTTTATAATATGAGTGTTAAGGACTTTTTGTCCTAGGGTCCTCCACCAAGTTTATAATATGAGTGTTAAGGACTTTTAGTCCTAGGATCCTCCACCAAGTTTATAATGTGAGTGTTAAGGAATTTTAGTCCTAGGGTCCTCCACCAAGTTTATAATATGAGTGTTAAGGACTTTTGGTCCCAGGGTCCTCCACCAAGTTTATAATATGAGTGTTAAGGACTTTTAGTCCTAGGGTCCTCCACCAAGTTTATAATATGAGTGTTAAGGACTTTTAGTCCTAGGGTACTCCACCAAGTTTATAATATGAGTGTTAAGGACTTTTAGTCCTAGGGTCCTCCACCAAGTTTATAATATGAATGTTAAGGACTTTTAGTCCTAGGGTCCTCCACCAAGTTTATAGTGTGAGTGTTAAGGACTCTTAGTAGGGTCCTCCACCAAGTTTATAATATGAGTGTTAAGGACTTTTAATCCTAGGGTCCTCCACCAAGTTTATAATGTGAGTGTTAAGGACTTTTAGTCCTAGGATCCTCCACCAAGTTTATAATATGAGTGTTAAGGACTTTTAGTCCTAGGGTCCTCCACCAAGTTTATAATAGGAGTGTTAAGGACTTTTAGTCCTAGGGTCCTCCACCAAGTTTATAATATATGCTCAACCTCCTATCAACAGAGATAGAGTCTATATCATATTCATAGCTAAATAACTTCATAAAGCTTATGTATTTCAATTCATGCAAGCCATGCGTTTATATCAATTTATAATTAACTAATACCAACCAGTATTAATTAATCCATCATCAATCGGTCAACGTTTTCGTTAACCGTCATCTCAAGCCTTATACATATCAACTTAATCATCATATATATTCAGTTAACAATATTCACTCTATGCTTCTTTTACCTTTCAAACATGGCATGCAATTTCATAGAAATTCTCATATCATATTCCACGCATATTCATGTACTTCATTTCATACATGCCTAATCACTTTGGCTAATCACATATTTAAATATCTTTTAAACATCATTATGAATACATATAACATTTATTTAGGTAATCTCAAAATTAATCCAAAAGTTATAAGATATTAAGCCGTCCACTCACCTTAAATGAGCTTAAGCGTGTTCTACGCTCTTCGGTTGAACTCCGGCAAAACTCCGGTGAACTCTGGCGAAACTCCGGCGAGCTCTAGAAAAACTTTAGTTATGCTCCTAACATAGTTTCCTCATCACAAAACTCATATCAATACAAATAACCTCTAAAAGGTTATTTTCCGGCGAACCGGTCGTTTTGGCTTCTAAGTCCGTTCTTGGACTTAGAACTACCTCCCAACCCATTATTCCACACTCATACCATGTAGAACAATCCTAAGGGTCCTCCATATGATATTTATCTCATATGTTATTACCTTAATTTTCACACTTTTCCTAGCTTTTTCCACCTATAATCTTCTTCTTTGGACCCCTTTGTTTGAGCTCGAGTTACAGCAATGTAGAATGACTTGAGAGCTTCCTTTTCCTCCTCTTTTGGTAGCTTGGATGAAAGTAATGGAGTGGGTGAGTGAGGAGATAGCCTCTTTGGCTTTTCTCTCAAAATAATGTGGGAATGGGTCCCCTATTGTACCTTTGATGCCATTCCCCTCCTTTCACACTCCCCTCCCATGAACTTCCATCACACCAGCCGGCCAACCCCCTTAATTGAGTGGATAAATTCATGGGTTGGCGCCCACCCATATGGGAGGTCAACCGTTTGTGTCCCGATGTGTACAATCGGTCCCGAAAGTTGTATTTTTTGGACCGTTTTAATTATATTTTATTTTATCGGGTCAAATAAAATATATTATATGTTTCCCATCATTATGGACTCTTAGAATGAATATACATTCCTCATCTTTAATTTAGAAGTCTCCGAAATCCGTTTCGAGCTGTTATCTAATAAATTACCAATACCGGTAATTGGGCCTCGTTTGACCGACGTGTCAACCCCATGCCCTTTCTATGGCCCAACTAAAATATCCACCACCATATAAATATTATCTAAACCAAGATGAATATAATATGTGGTCCCGGGATAATCAGGTTGTCCCCGCTCCCGATGCGGGCCCCGCGTGCAATTCACTATTCACGGAAAAGTAATAACAAAAATTTTACAACCTTGTAAATTCATAAATCGTTATTCAATGTTCATTACATGATTTACTAAAAGGTAAATATACTTAGGGACGGTGTTACAGAGCATATTAAGGATTTATATGTTGATGATTCTGAATTCGGTGCTATATATTATGCATGTACTAACGGCATACATGAAAAACATCACATGAATGATGGTTTTCTTTTCAAGGGTATTAAACTATGTGTGCCCAAGTGCTCATTTCGTGGATTACTTGTTAGAGAAGCCCATAGTAGTGGGTTAATGGGGCATTTTGGGGTACACAAAACATGTGATATACTTCAAGAACATTTTCATTGGTCAAAACTAAAACACGATGTATATACGTGTTGTTCTTGCTGCATTACGTGCAAACATGCAAAGTCAAGGTGTATGTCTCATGAATTATATCTTCCTTTGCCTGTTTCTACTCATCCTTGGATAAATCTATCAATGGAATTTGTGTTAGGAATACCCCAGAGTGAATCTGGGCACGTCTCAATATTTGTGGTAGTTGATAGATTTTTCAAAATAGCTCATTTCATTCCCTGTAATAAAACAGATGATGCGTGCCATATTGGTCATATTTTCTTCAAAGAAATAGTTAGGTTGTATGGTATGCCAAAAACAACTGTTTCTTATCGAGATGTCAAATTCCTCAACTATTTCTGGAAAACTTTATGGTTAAAATTGGGAACCAAGCTTTTATTTTCTACTATAAGTCATCCCCAAACACAAACTGAAGTAGTAAATAGAACACTAGGAACCCTACTGCTTTTTTAATAAGTAAAAATCTAAAAAATTGGGAAGAATGTATTCCTTATGTTGAATTTGCTTATAATAGGCAAACACACAACACTACAGGATATTCACCTTTTCAGGTTGTATACGGATTGAATCCATTAACACCTCTTGATCTTTTACCTGTACCAAACACTAAACTCACTAATCTGGATGGCGCAAGAAAGGCTGAAAGGGTGAAGCAAATGCATAAAAACGTCAGCCAAGCCATATCCAAAAGAAATGAGCAACTGGCTACCTCAATCAACACGGGGCATACGAGTTTTTTTTTTCAAGTAGAGGAAAATGTTTGGCTGCATTTGAGCAAGGATAGATTCCTCAATCAACGCAAACCAAAGCTTCTGCCAAGAGGGGATGGCCCTTTTCAAGTCCTGGAACGGATCAATGTAACACATACAAGATTCAACTGCCAAGTGAGTATGGTAACGTCAGTGCTACTTTTATTGTCGCTCACTTAACTCCTTCTGATGCAGGTAATGAACCTGATTCGTGGACGAATCCTATGAGGGGGAGGAAGTTGATGTGTATAGTACAATTCGAATCACACCTCAAGTTGACCTAGAACGACACCCGTTACAGGTGCAAGATGGTCCATTAAAAAGAGCTCGTGCTAGGCGTTTCTAAGAGGCCATTTGCGCATGGATTGAGAAGAGTAGGACGGAGGCCTTGACCACATCCAAGGGGGGTGACTATGGAGCCTTGGGAACCCCTAGTAAGCTTTCCAAATGAAACTTAAAATTGATGTAGGCAATACAAACTCCCAAGCTGCCAATATGGAGCTTAAATGTTCAAATGGGCCATTTCTGCATACAAAACTAACTTTGGAACATTGGATTAGAATTAGATTTTACTTCCAGTCCATTATATTTTAAGCTTTATGTGTTAAGTATGGTTGACCGAGCTATAGGATAAAATCTGGTTCAAAAAGAGTTTAGCCACAAAAGTTCATCCTTATCCATTTTTGTTGCTAATACCTATTTTAGTGGAAAATGGGGGTCAGTTGCCCACCCACGTTTCCACATTTCGTTTCCATGATTTCAGATAGTTATTTAGGTATATATAATGCAGCAGTATGTAAAAAATGACCACTGTATTCTTCCATAAAATGAAAACATTCTTGTTTTCAAAACCTCATGCGTTATATTGAGTTCAATTGAGTTGTGTGATTTATCAATTTGGTTGTGGCGTCCATAGCTATGTTCTCTTATATTTCATCCTTAGAAAGTGGCGAGAACCCATACGTTTCTTCACCTTTCATTCTTTATGAAACCATTAAGCTTCCCAGAACCAAGACCAACTAGGAACAACTAATGACAACACCATTTTCAAGATTTCTTTTGTGAGGAGTCTTGGGCATAGTTTCTAATCGAATCCCACACCCAAAGAACAGTCCATTGAGGGTGGAATTTGTATCAGGGTGGTTCGTCCTGCAGTGGTGGCCGTAACAACCATGGTCAACGTGGTCGTGGCCGTGGGTTGATGCTCTTTATACTACTCTTTTAGAAAATATTTCAAAAATCTTTGAACTACTCTTTTTTGCGCATTTTTGGTTGTGCGTTTGTTCCTTTCTATTACTCTCTTTTGGTTAGGAGGTTCGTCAACTTGATATTAAGAATGCATTCTTACATGGTTATTTAACTGAGGAGGTATATATGAAACAACCTCCTGGTTTTGTTCATCCATCATATCCCACTCATATCTCTTGTCTGATTAAAGCACTTTATGAGTTAAAACAAGCTCCTCGTGCGTGGTTTCATCGTTTTAGCGGTTTTCTGTTATGTCATGGTTTTACTCATAGTAGATCCAATTCCACTATGTTTGTTTATCGTCGTGGCTCTCACACTCTTTATATTTTATTGTATGTGGATGACATTCTAATTACTGGTAGTTCCCCCTCTCTTATTTCCTCCTGTATCTCTACCCTTTCGCATACCTTTGCTATGAAAGATTTGGGGAGGATTCATTTTTTCTTAGGCATTCAAGCCCTTCATACCCACAAGGTCATCTTTCTCTCCCACCAAAACAAGATCTCTTATTTATTGCACCAATTTCAACTTCACACGATCAAACCCGTCTACACAAATCTTCCTTATTGCACTACATACATTGTCCTTGACTGATGGAGAACTTCTTACTAATGGTACTGAGTATCACAATATGGTTGGTGCTTTATAGTACTTTAGTATCACTAGACCAGATATTACTATGTTGTTCATTTGGTGTCCCAGTTTAGGCATGCTCTTCGTACTGCTCACTTATTGGTTGTCAAGCGTATTTATCACTATTTGTAATGTACCATCACTAAGGGGTTGTGGTTGCATCGCAGAGGTGATACTTCTCTGATTATTGCTTATTCTGAGGCTGACTTGACAGGGTGTCCTCATACACGTCGATCTACTACCGGATATGCCTAAAATATTGGCTTTTAGGATTTGTTAGCAATCTCCGATAATGCATAAAAACGTCAGCTTGAACCTGCGATAAATGAGATACACGTCGATCTACTACGGGTGTCCTCATACACGTCGATTTGGAGACTGTAATTTGCTTCTTGTGGCACGGGTTGTAACTTTGTCCAACTTGTATTCTCATTTCAAAGCAATTGGCTATGATAAAATTTTAATCTTTAGCCGTAGAGTTGAGTATATAAGCTGGGTGTTTGTTCAATGCTTCCTTAGTATATAACTCCTCTGCTTTTAGTAAAAGTAATGTTATAAGAAATTTTTGTGAAGTGGTAAGAATTTCATAAAAAATTACTTTTTGTCCTTTCTTTTATTTGACTGCAAGTTGGTCTTTTGATTTCTTGTTTTTGTTGCTCTATAGAGAAGAATACAGATTTCAGTGGCCTTGTCTTGAAAATACGAAGTCAGTAGATAGCTGCAGTTTTTTAGACAAAATCAGTAGGCTGCTGATTTTATATTTTTAGGAGGCTGCGAGTTAGAAAGAATTCAGCTGACTCTTTTTCGTACCATTTTTCTTTCTAATTGTTTTTCCAGCACATATTGTAGCATAATGCAACAAGAATAAAACTCCAGATCAAGTGATACATGATATAGGGGGTGGCATCATCAAAACTTTAATCATAAAAATCTAAGGGATCTTACAATTCCCCCCTTTTGATGATGCCAAAAACTGGAATAAAAAACAAACATAATAAGCAAAAGAAAGTACATTTGAAGTGCCAAATGTTTTTGAGTACCCCCCCCCCCCCCTTTTGGCAGCATTCAAAATGTATTTCTTCATTGTTTAGAAAGGCCTTTGTCGAGATGATTCTCCAGGATACAATTCTAATGTAGCCTTCCTTTTTCTTCTTTCATTTGCTTGTTTGGTTTCTTCCAATTTGCACTGATAGATTCTATTGATGTAGCCCATTGAGATTGCATTTTCTATATTGTGTGTTCTAAACCATCCTAGTGTAAATTGTTCTTCTTGATTCATTGTTGTGCAGTAAGTAGTAAAATGTCAATTGGAGAAACTTTACTGTTTCTCCAAGTCAACACTCTTTGAGGTTCTTTTGCAAGAGCTTCCTTTTCACTGTTGAGGATTACCCTCTCTTCAAGAGTGGATAAGCTTTCTTCTTGTGTTGCGGTTAGGGTGATTCTTCTTGGTTTTGGGGGAGCCAGTGTCAGTTCAAGTAAGTTGTTATCACATGAAGTGTTTCATGAGTTCTCCATTTGAAGCGAGAAGGATGATAGTCTTTGAAGAAGGTTTGGAGAAGTTGCAAAGGTGTTTTCTTTGAGTGAGAGATTGAGTGAAGTGAGGTGAATTGATCGGGTGAAAAGAGTATTTATACCAACAAGAGTGTAACTGTTCAAAGCTAGTTACCGTTGGGAAGTAACCGAACAATTGCTCTTAATTAATGATCTTGTGGTTGGATCACTTTTCATGGTAAACAGGTGACTTAGATATAAACGAGTGAGAAAAATGTGGTTAGACAAACTCACTTAGCTTTATATGAGTCCGCTTTGAAAACCACTCCTTGGGATGAGTCAGCTGATTGATCACCATGTGTCGTGATAACATGTTGCATGTTACTATAAATCCATTTTGCTTCACTTCTCTGATTTGATAGAGGATAATCTTCTCTCATGTTCATTTATGTAACACCTTAATGAATGTCAGCATGTAGTTTTAAGGGTATCAAGATAAGTCATTTTCTGCATGGCTGATTTTAGTCAAGCATTCCCATACTTTGTTTCTCAGGAAATGTTTCTTTAGATCAATCTTGATCTGAAATGTTGAGCAGTACCTGTCGAATTTGATGTGTTTATTTGATATCTATTGAAGCTAGATACCACTTGAGATTGTTGTTACGATTGCTCAATTTATCTTTGAATACTTTCTAGTTCCTTTAAACATGTTTGTAATGTTCCAAACTTGTATAGAAATCGGGTATATGCTTGTTGATGTTTTCAGCAGACATCTGATTTTTCTGCAAAATTCAGTAGGCTGGTAAGACAGTACTTTGTTGAGCCAACTGCTTTTCATGCTGTATTTTTCCTTCTTCCTTCTTTCTTTCCCAGAGTTCCGGTGACTTGAGTCTTGATTTCTGATTACAAATTATCTTCCTTTTGAATGATCCTTTTGTTATCCAGAACATTGACCGATCTCTACCATAATGATTTGTTTTTATTGAACAAATCCCACATGATCCTCAGAACTAGTCAAGTCATGTGGTTTCTGGACTTTGTCAAATGGAGTTGACTTGTTTGTAAAGATGCCTAGAAACTCTTATGGATTGTAAAGCATTTTTAGCAAATCATTCCTTTGAATTCATTTGATCCATTGGGCTGGATTTAGCCTTTTGTTTGAGAATTTGATGTTGCTTTCTTTCATAATCTTCTTTACTTAGAGAGTACTCGATTTTCCATTGTGACCGATTCCCTTGGTTTAAGCATGATTGCTTTAAAACATTCCCCCTGTGTTGATGATCTCCTATAAGTCCCTTGACTTGGTACTCAGAGACGGACATCTTAAAAAACAGGACACTGTTATTAGCATGATTTTGCTTTCAATAGGTAGCTCTTTTATTAGGATGCTACTGTAAGTAGGTTGCTCATGATTCTTATTAGGACGCTGCAAAAGAGCAGGATGCTCTTAATAGAAATAAAACACTACAAAACAATAGGGTGCTCCTTTATCATCAAAGTCCAGTGTTTGAGTTTTTGTTGAGGTATTGAGTCCCCCCTCAACTTGTGATATGCTTCTCATATAGCAAGATAGATGTAGTGATATTTGCCTGGGTCTCTAGGATACCCCCCCCCCCCCCCCTAATAAAATAGTTTTTTTTGATGAGGAGAGATACCTTTGAGTTCATCTGACATTTTCATTTCTTCCTTGATAAGCATTCAAGATCTTGCTTTGAGAATAGTAGATGTGCTAGGATCCTTAGTTTGCTTGAGATTTTGCCACTGTTGTAGATATAATCAAAATCTATCTTCGGTGTGAGTTTGATCATAACAATCTTTATGTGATGTTGTTGATGCTGGTTCAACCTTCTTCGTAATTTGAGATTTTTTTTATTGAAGTTGAGCATCATCTGGTACATCTATTTTTAAATAGATCTGGAATAGAAGGTAGTTGCATTTGATGTGATTCAGTTGTTTTCAATGAGTTGGGTTAGTACTATCATTAGTTTGCAGCAAGCAACTGGGAGCTTGCTGACTTTCTAAGTGAGATTTCCTTCTTTCATGTGAGCACAATTTTTGATGACATCTTTGAGGAGTAGATGTCTTTTATTGTTTGTCATAGACTGGCGTGTGCTCAATATATCCTTAAATCATTAACATAAGTTGTGTCAAGGATTTGAGGAGTTCAGATTGTTATCTCTAGTCTTTGATATCTTCTTTCCACTCAATATTCCCATCACTTTTGGCTTTTGTCAAGATTTTGTTTTTCTTAAAATAAGTGATCCTTCCTTTCCTTCCAGAGCACTTTGTAGTTGTGGAAGGAAAGGAAATCATTCCTTGTAACTATTAATTCTGTAGATTTATAGAAGGAAAGTAAATCTGTTCTTATTACCAAATATTTTGTAGATTATATTCAAGATATCATTTGTAATTATACTAAATATTTAGTTACCTTAATTAGTTGTTCATAAACTGTATATATGTAACCATTCTACAATCAATAAAATTATCACTTCTCACTCTCTTATATGGTATTAGAGCTTCTGCGCTTTTACCAGTCTTGATCCTCTATGGCCAACGACGGAAAAAAGACTGCCCCTCCTGCTTTCCCTGAGTTTCTGAAGGACAACCCCTTTATTCCTACTGTCGCGAATTTTCCAGTAAAATTTGATGGCACAAACTACCTTGTCTGGTAGCGCCAAGTCCATATATGGTCTCTTTCGCGGCCTGCGTCTTCACGGCCTTCTTGATGGATCAATAGATCTTTCTACTACCGATCCCATCACTCTTCGTTGGTGTGATCAAGATGCTCTTCTCCAACAGGCAATGATTACATCGTTCAGTCCAACAGTTCTCTCCTCTGTTTCCGCCACCCGTACCTGCCGTGACATTTGGGTCACTTTGGAGAACATCTATGCCAACTCTTCTCCAACCCGGCTTCTCAACCTCACTGAACGGCTCCAACATGCCGGAAAGAAACTGGAGCAACCGGTGTCGAGTTTCTGCACCATCTCAATTCTCTGGCCAACGAATTGCGCAAACTTGACTAGGAAGTTTCCCCAAACAACTTCAAACTGTATGTCATCAATGGAATCCAGGCTGAATTTCCCGAATGTGCCGGTTTTCTGTGTGGTAGCCGAGATAAATGGACCTTTGAAGACCTTCATAAATATCTAGTGTCCTGTGAAGAAGGGAGACTCTATCAGCAATCCACCCCTAGTCCGGTCACCGCGAATGCTGCGCTTCGTCATCCTGCAGCGTCCTGGTCCACTCCACCTCCATCTGGAGTATCGCCGACTAATTTTGCTCACTGGCAGTCCATGATGTTGCCTCAATCAGCACCGATGGCTGCCTATTTGTAGCCCTATCCCGTCCATGGATATGGGCCTCGTGGCTATCAACCCTCTCTCTTGGGTCCAATCCCGTCCACTGTTTCGCTTAATTACACTCCCTCTAGGCCTAACAGTGCTCAAGCTAATAAGCAAACAAAAAATAACAACTCTGTTTATTATAGAGGGAAAGGGTGCAGAAACAACCCAAAATCAAACATGGATTATGTTGAGTGTCAAATTTGAAAGAAGCCAGGGCACACCGTAACCGCTTGCTATTCAAGATATCAGCCACAAGCAAATGTAGTCAATTCCAGCACTCCAGAAATGCTTCTTGACTCCGGTGCATCAGATCATGTGACCAATGATTTGAGCAAATTGAGCCTTGCCTCTGATTATAATGGCAATGATTCCCTGGTTATAGGTAATGGTCAAGGTTTGAAAATTACACATGTTGGGAATATGTCTTTACCTTGTGCACCCACTTTATCCGTGCCTAACACCTTACTCGTCCCTCATGTTCATTCTACTTTACTATCTGTAGCCAAACTTTGTCATGACAATAATGTACTCATTGAATTTCACCCTTATTTTTGTTTGGTGAAGGATCGCAACACAGGGACAATTTTGTGCCGAGGTTTGAATAAAGGGGATGTTTACTGACTTCCTTCTTCGGAGTCGCCGCAATTAAATTCCAGTATTAGATCTTCTGTTTTTTATTGTCATTGTCACATTGGTCACCCCGCTTTACGAATTACCAAGAAAGTCATTCAGTCCTTAGGATTATCTGTCTTGTCATCTATGCAACATAACTCTATTTGTCAATCATGTGCTTGTAATAAAAGTCACAGACTGCCTTTTTCTACTTCCTCTTTGTCTATTAATGGTCCTTTAGATATTTTATTCACCGATGTGTGGGGACCTTCGCCTATTATTTCGTGTGATGGTTTTCGTTATTATGTAATTTTTGTTGATCATTACACTAAATATGTCTGGTTATATCCTTTAAAACGTAAGTCTGATGTGCTTCCTACCTTTCATCAGTTTCAGCTTCTTGTTGAACGATACTTTAACAGGAAAATCAAAGTCGTTCATTCGGATGGTGGTGGTGAATATATTTCACTGGGCACACATCTCCAATCTCAAGGGATCACTCATTTAGTCTTCCCTCCCCACCACCTCAATGCAACGGCTTCGCTGAATGGTGTCATCGCCACACAGTTGAAACCGGTATCACTCTTCTCTATCACGCCTCTCTACCCACAAAATATTGGTCATATGCTCTCCAAACAGCAGTCTATTTAATCAATAGACACCCCACTCCATCTCTCCATAATATGTCGCCTTATGAGCTCCTTCACAAAATCAAGCCAAATTATTCTAAACTTCGAGCCTTTGGTTATCTGTGTTTTCCTTGGCTTCGTCCATATGTGTCTCATAAACTTGCTCCTCGGTCTCACCCATGTGTTTTCTTAGGTTATTGTACCCAGAAAGATGCATAAAAATCTCTTGACCTTAAAACTCAAAAAAATTATGTCTCTCGTGATGTTATATTTAATGAGTCAGTCTTCCCTCTTGCCACCACATCCCCAAGTCATCCTTCCTACGAAGACTTGTTTTCTCCTTCTGATTTGTCCATAGATACTACTCCTGCTCAGTCAGCATCATCCAATTCAACCTCGGTTCAGGCTCCCTCGTCAGGTATGTTCACAATCTCACCTAAGCCCATACCGAATAATCCTACTCCTATTGTACCATTTCCCTATCATTATCAGTGCAGTAGAAAAGCCTCTGCTATCGTGGCCCAACCACAGACAAATCAACCCAATTCAACCCCAATCAGTCCAATCCGATCCAACCCTACCCAATCTACCTCTGAACCATGTCCTGAAATGCTGCAGAACCATGTTCCAATACCCGACCGACCTGCTGACCAGCACCCTAACCCTTCCCAAAATCCAACTCCATCCTCCCAAGTTAGAGAGCCCAATCTGCCCCTATCTCATACCCAACAGCCAACCAGGCTACATCCCATGACCACTAGGCTTCAATCCCGACTGCACCCTAAGCAACTCAACCTTGCCACCAAGCATCCCCCTCTGCCTGACATAATTCCCTCATGTGCTTCTCAAGCTTTGCAGGTACCACACTGGAGGGCTGCTATGTACGAGGAGTTCAACGCTCTTATGGATAATGGAACTTGGGATTTGGTCCCGCCAGCTCCTAATATGAACATTGTTGGTTGTCGATGGGTATTTCAAGTTAAATATCATCCTACTGGTGCTATTGAGCGCTACAATGCACGTCTAGTTGCTAAGGGTTTTCATCAGCGTCCCGATGTTGATTTCTCCGAGACATTCAATCCCGTTGTAAAACCAGTAACTACCCGGATTGTTCTTGCTGTTGCCCTCTCTCGGGACTGGATGAATAATCAGCTTGATGTGAACAACGCCTTTCTTCATGGACAGCTTTCAGAGGAGGTTTTTATGGCTCAACCTCCGGGTCTTGTTGACAAAACTCATCCTGATTATGTGTGTCATTTACGACAATCTATTTATGGCCTGAAGCAGGCCCCCCCGTGTTTGGTATGAGTCATTGAGCACCTTCTTGCTAACTATGGGTTTTCATCAGTCACTTGCAGATGCTAGCCTCTTTACCTATAATGAGGGTGATCTTCTGATGTACATCCTTGTATATGTTGATGATATCATTATCACTGGAAGCTAACCTGCTGCCATTAGACAATCTATTCATACCTTGGCTACAAAATTCAAATTAAAGGACTTGGGCTCATTACACTTTTTCCTTGGTGTTCAGATTCACCCTTGTGCTAATGGACTAATTTTAAGCTAGATCCATTATATACATAACATCTTACTGGCTACGAAAATGCAGGATGCTAAACCTATCTCAACGCCCATGATTTCCTCATTTCAGCCGGTTTCAACCAGTCGTCCATTCACAGATCCTTCGCTTTTCCGGCACGTGATTGGCTCTCTCCAATATCTTCAATTAACTCGTCCTGACATTGCCTTTGCTGTTAATCGTCTAGCTCAACGAATGCAAGCACCCACAGAGGATGATTGGACTGCTCTAAAGAGAGTATTACAGTATCTCAAAGGTATCATCCAACATGGTCTTTTTCTTCCAAAATCTGCTTCCCTTTCTCTATCAGCTTAAAGTGACGCTGATTAGGCTGGTGATCACACAGATCATTGTTCTACCAGTGCCTACCTGGTGTTTCTCGGGCCATGCTTGCTTTCTTGGAAGTCATTTAAACAAAGGACAATTGCCCGGTCATCAATTGAAGTTGAGTATCGTGCACTAGCGTCAGTTGTAGCTGAGGTTGCCTGGGTTCAATCCCTCCTCTCAGAGCTTCGAATCTCAATTCCCGATCCTCCAACTCTGCTATGTGACAATTCAGTGCAACTTACACCTGTGTGAACCCTGTTTTTCACTCCCACATGAAACACCTCGCCATCGACTATCATTTTGTTCGGCAGCGTGTTCAGAAAGGATTGCTTCGCGTTCGCCATGTGCCTTCTGTTGATCAACTCGTTGATGCACTGACTAAACCGCTTTCTTGTGGTCGTTTCCTGCTCTTACGTTCCAAGCTCAGGATTGCTCCTGCCACTCCTGGCTTGAGGGGGCATGTAGAAGGAAAGTAAATCTTTCCTTGTAACTATTAATTCTGTAGATTTATAGAAGGAAAGTAAATCTGTTCTTATTACCAAATATTCTGCAGATTATATCCAAGATATCATTTGTAATTATACTAAATATTTAGTTACCTTAATTAGCTGTTCATAAATTGTATATATGTAACCATTCTACAATCAATAAAATTATCTCTTTTCACTCTCTTATAGTAGTATCATTGGATGATCCTTGATGTTGATCTTTGATACTATTTGAAAACAACAAATATCTTTTGACATTCATAAGTATCAACTGATATTGATTAATACCACTTGATAATTGATGAATTCATTAGATTTGTTGTTGTTTCATGATTGTGCTTGCTCTACCAGTTTTCTCCTTTTGAATGAATGTATGTACTAGAGTTTCACTTGAAGTGAATCCTTTTTGAACCTCTTGATCCCAATATTAGATAAGCAAAATAGTTTATGACCATTGGGTACATCATGGTTGTTTGGTCATATACTTGTTTTGTCCAGGTGTGAGTTTTTTGAAGAGAGTATGGACAGTGGAGTGTATAGATTTCTGCTTTATGTTATGGTTGATGAAGTCAACCAGATCTTTATGGGATTTTGATAAGTGGGTTCTTTGATATAGGAGTGAGGATAAGGTGGATTTTTAGTGACTGTTGGGAATATTTGGGTAGTTGGTTACTGGTCTATTTCTGGAATTTTGTGGATAAAGGGTAGATTAGTAGGCTTGTATTTTCTGGAGGTTTGAGACAATGTGATTGAAGCCAGGTTCAATATCTTTCCAGTTTTATATTTCTCATTAGCTAAGAAGGAGCTAAATATTGAGATATATACCATTATCAATTATTATTATTATTATTATTATTATTAATATTATTATTATTATTATTATTATTATTAGTATTATTATTATTATTATTATTAGTATTAGTATTATTATTATTATTATTATTATTATTATTTTTATTATTATTATTATTATTATTACTATTATTATTATTATTATTACTATTATTATTACTATTATTATTATTATTATTATTAATATTATTATTATTATTATTAATATTATTATTATTATTATTATTGTTCTTATTATTATTGTTCTTATTATTATTGTTCTTATTATTATTGTTCTTATTATTATTGTTCTTATTATTATTATTCTTATTATTATTATTGTTCTTATTATTATTGTTCTTATTATTATTGTTCTTATTATTATTGTTATTATTATTAATGTTATTATTATTATTATTATTATTATTATTATTATTAAATATTAGATACATGAATATGTCTAATTTTGTATTGACGTAGCTTTCCCATTTGCATGGCCCATGCAAGACTTAATAGTTTCTCTCTCCTATCACTCATGGAGAACCATTGTACTATAAATATGTGAACTTACATAAGATCAAATACACTTGTGAGAAATGTGATGTTCTTCCATTAATCTCTCTCCAAATATTCCGTATCAATTGTGTAAATTTACAAATATTCAGTATCAATTTTATCACTAAATGAGATTACTTAGTTTTATTCCTTATATGATTGTGCTTCTAGTAAATTTACTATTTGGATTTTCTGAAGTTTAAGATCTTTTAGTCTGAGAAAGGAATAGGTTTATCTGAATGTTCCTTTGCATGGGATACAAACGAGATAAAATATTGAACATTCAGAATAAACTGAGTTTCTAGAGATGTTTTTACATATACCTCTTTATAATCATCTTTCGTTGTTGTTGTTGGCCATATTTTGGTGATGTCATGAGAGTAGGTTTGACTTCTTCTTCTTCTTCTTGTTTTCTTGAAAGTCCCTTGAGTGATAACATCTTTCTCAATATTTGACTTTGTGAACCCAGAGTTTGAATAACAGCTTGTTGTATCATTCTTTGTTATCTTTTCCTTCATTAAGGGTCTCCTTCAGTGTGTTTACCATCTCTTATGACTATAAGTGTTTTGGGAAATTGGTGATTGATCTTTGGTTCAAAATAAGCCGATCAAGAAACTGACTCTATGAACAACTGCTCTGAGGTAAAAGTCTTGGGGGGGGGGGGGGGGTGAATAGACTTTGAAATCTTTTTCTTTCATCAACCCTTTCTCCTCTAATAGAGTAAGTTTCAATATCTTTTGAGAGATATTGTAACATTCAGCGGAAGTCTTAACCTCATGAGTGTGACACTTTATAGTAACAAAGGTTATGATCCTTTAGTTTGATGGAAGATGGTTAAACAGAATTTATATGTGTTTATCGAAATCAGCCACCTCAAGGAGCAGGCTGCTGAAAAAGGTTATTGCACCAGTGTTAGAGACATAGTGAAGTCTGAAACATTGTAGGGCTTTTTGGAATAGACTAAACACATAGACATGAAGGATTTTGACCTTTGTGGATAGGTCTCTTTTTTATACAAGAATGAGGACCTAGAAGACTAAGATGAAGTAAACTGAATAGTTTACTGATAAGTGTTTTAGGAAGCATTTTTTGAGATGACTGGAAAGATGTGAAGGTGAGTGAGAACTGTTGGTGTTGTGAGAACTGAATGTAAAAGGTGACACAAGATTTATCCCAGTTCAGAGGTGGTGTAATCCTCCTACATCCAGTCCCACCCTCTTTCAGATGGATTTCCACTAAATGAATATACCCATTACATTTAGTGCCCAATCTATCTTTGGCCGCAGGCATAGATTGTGAGGTTTTTCACCAGGAATTTGAACGCCATTCCAAGCAACTCAGTCCTCCAAGGTTTTTCACTAAAGGCATTGACTAGCCAAAAGTTACTCATGTCCTTGATTTCACATACCTTCTGGATTTGATCACAACGCCCTCCAGAGTTTACAAACTATTATATTTTACATGAGTAAAGCTAAACTACCAACTAACTAAGATCTAAAGATGTATATGAATATGAACTATTCTAAGATCTTAGATGAGTGGGTGAGAACTAAGAGGATGAATGCTGATCAACACTTTCTTCTTTGTTGAATATGTCGCGTAGGCTTATTTTCCTTCTTAACTCGACACTTGGTTCTCACACACTCCTTCTGTATTTAAAGACTCGAGTTGTTGAATGTATTTCGTTGGCTGAAGAGATTCAATCTTGACCGTTGGTTGATCCACTTAATTGATCTACTTGACCAAAAGGCAGCATGGTTGTATTTTGTCTTCTTGTGGCACGGGTCGTAACTTTGTCCAACTTGTATTCCTCATTTCAAAGCGATTGGCTTAAGATAAAATATTAATCTTTAGCCGTAGCGTTGAGTATATAAGCTGGGTGTTTGTTCAATGCTTCCTTAGTACATAATTCCCTTGATTTTAGTAAAAGTAATGTTATAAGAAATTTTAATGAAATGGTAAAAAATTCATATTTTTGTCCTTTCTTTTATTTGACTGCAAGTTGGTCTTTTGATTTCCTTTTTTTGTTGCTCTGTAGATATGAATACAGATTTCAGTGGCATTGTCTTGAAAATACGAAGCCAGTAGCTAGCTGCAGGTTTTGAGACAAAATCAGTAGGCTGCCGATTTTATATTTTCAGGAGGCTGCCGGTTGCAAAGAATTCAGTTGACTTTTTTTCGTACCATTTTTCTTTTTGATTCTTTTGTTTGTTTTGGTACATTTCTTTTCTTCTTTTTAATACTCTTTTTTTTGTTTTTCTTTTGTTTACCTTGAGTACTTTCTTTTTCAACACATATTGTACCATAATACAACAAGATCAAAATTACAGATCAAGTGATATTAAGTGGATATAAGGGGTGCCATCATCAAAACCTTATTCATCAAAATCTAGGGGACCTAACAATATTCAGCACAATACAAAACAACTATACTCATACAACATATTGATGACAGTAACAACATATAACCCTTACTCAGATCTTATTGGTCATCATAGTAGGTGATGAGTTAAGATTTGCCTCACGGTATCATGGAAGTACAACTTCACACAACATTTCATCACACCACCACCCCCACAACCCTCACTCAGACCTTAGTGGTCATCATAGTAGGTGTAACACCCCGCCCCATAGGGCCCGGGGTTGTTACTCCTAGATACTCTCAGGACCTCTGGTACTACCCTCATAAAACACCACAAGTCTTAAACGCCCACTTTGTCCTCACTCGTGCGCGTCTTGAGAAATTTCTCAGGGGGTCACCCATCCTAAGACTACTCCCGTACAAGCACGCTTAACTTGGAGTTCTTAGCTGATGAGCTCCACTAAAAGGAGATGCATTTTATTGGTATGAGTAGTACTATTAATCCTTTTCATAACATCCGAAAAGGGATGTTGGGAACTATACAGATTTGAGTTTTGAATTTATGTTTTGTGCCTTTCTAAATTCCTACTTTCCCAGAATTTATTTCTTATTGAAATGGGGTTTTAACCACATCTTAAATAGTATTTAAGCTCTCTAATTACTTTTTATGGGACATTACACATTACTGAATAATAGTTTTTCTCTAATTTCGGTCAAAACTTTGCCACTGTGAAATTTCTAAGGCTTCTTCTACTTTTATCGAAAGAGTAATTCAAGCTGATAATGTAATTCTACTTTATTATCATGGAAGATAATGTAAAAGAGTTGGATGTAGCCATCAAGAATGTTGATTGTATCTATCCAGTAGTAGTGAAGGCACTATTGAGCGCCGTTAAGGAGGGGATAGAGATCCTGAGTGAAGTAAAAGAAATCCTGAGGGATTTCAATGAACTTGTTTCTGAGGAGCTGCCAAATGTCCTGCCTCCTATGCGCAACATTCAGCACCATATTTATCTGATTCCCGGATCTAGTTTGCCTAACCTACCTCGTTATCGAATGATCCCTACGTAGAGTGAGATTCTAAGACAAATAACTGAGGAACTATTAAAAAAAGGGTTCACTCGAGGAAGTATGAGCCCTTGTGTTGTTCCAATCCTTCACGTTCTTAAATCAGTGGAGAATGTGTGTTGATAGCAAGGCCATCAGCAAGATTACCATTAAATACAGGTTCCCAATACCACGCTTGGATGACATGCTTTACGCGTTGGCAGGATCCAAATTCTTCTCAAAAATAGACTTACACAACACCTATCACTAGATTCGGAAGAGGCCTGGAGATGAGTGGAAGACATCCTTCAAGAGTAAGGATGGTCTCTTCGAGTGGTTGGTCATTCCTTTCGGTCTAACCAATGCCCCTAGCACATTCATCAGACTAATGAACCAGGTTCTTTGTCCTTTTATTGGCTCTTTTGTGGTTGTTTACTTTGAGTAATTCTAATTTATAGCAAAACTAAGGAGGGTCATTTGCGGCAGAATCTCATACAAGTGTTAATTTTAAAAAATGTATGTTCTGCACCAACCAGTTTCTTCTTTTGGGTTTTGTTATTGGTGAGGATGGCGAAAAAGTGCACGCAATAAGAGACTGACCTATTTCTAAATCTGTTAGTGAGGTACACAGTTTCCATGGTTTAGCCACTTTCTATAGACGTTTGGTTTGAGATTTCAGCACCATTACCGCTCCCATTACCGAGTGTTTGCAATAAGGAAAGTTTTGTTGGGGTCTAGAACAAGAACATGGCTTTGCATTGATCAAAGAAAAGCTTTGCACCGCACCAGTTCTTGCCTTTCCTGATTTTGATAAGATATTTAAAGTGGAGTGTGATGCAAGTGGCGTCGAGATAGGTGTTGTACTTTCACAAGAAAAGAGGCCATTGAATTTCTTAGTGAAAAATTAAGTGAAGCTAGGTAGAAGTAGAGTATTTATGATCAAGAATTTTATGCAGATTTTCGTGCTCTTAGGCAATGGGAACATTATTTGTTCCAGATGGAGATTGTTCTGTTCACTAACCATCTTGCTTTGAAATTTCTTCATAGCCAGAAGATCATAAACAAAATGCATGCACGTTGGGTGAGTTATCTGCAAAAATGTCCCTTCATTATTCAGCAAAAATATGGTATTCACAATAAGGTAGGTGATGCATTGAGTAGAAGGATATCTTTGCTCATGACAATATCTCAGAAAATTGTAGGTTTCAAATTGTTGAAAGAGTTGTATGATAATACTGATCATGATTTTCACGAAATATGGGCCAAATGTAGTAGTCACTGTCCGAGTGTAGACTTTTACATTAAAGATGACTACCTTTTTAAAGGAGACCAGCTCTCTGTTCCCTGTACTTCACTGTGAGAGAAGTTAGTTCTAAAACTATACTATGGAGGTCTTAGTGACTCACATGAAGGAAGATAAAACCATTTCTAACCTCGAGGAGCGTTATTATTTGCCTCACCCGAAGAAAGATGTTGCTACCGCTGTTCAGAAGTGTTATACTTGTCAAGTTTATAAAGGCCAATATCAAAATACCGGTCTTTATATGCCTCTACCCACCTCGAATGACATATGGCATGATCTCTCCATGGATTTTGTGCTCGATTTGCCTTGCACACAGAAAGGCGTGGCCTCTGTGTTTGTGGTGGTTGACAGGTTTTCCAAGATGGCTCATTTTATCGCCGACAAGATTACTGCTAATGCTTCTAATATGCTAAGTTGTTTTTCAGGGAGATTGTATGTCTACACGGGGTTCAGAAATCCATTACTTCGGATAGGGACACCAAATTTCTCAATCGTTTATGGGTTACTTTATGGCTTCTGTTTGGAACAACGTTAAATAGAAGTTCAACAGCTCATCCACAAATGGATGGGAATATTGAGGTAACCAACAGGACGCTGGGAAATATGATCAGATGTGTTTGTGGAGAAAAACCTGAACTGTGGGATCTCACGCACATTACCGCAAGTTGAGTTTGCTTAAAACAACGTCTTGCACACAGCCACGAGAGTCACACCCTTATCTTTAGTTGACACCCCCATTCCAGGCATGCAGTGGATGTTGTGCCATTGCCTAAGGCTCCTTGAGTGAGCTCCGCTGTTGAAAATATGGCCAGAGATGTGCAAAATGTTAAAGAGGCCACGAGGCAGAAAAAATAAGTCTGCTACAGACACACATAAGCAGTTAAAGGTATTCACAATTGGTGATGATGTGATGGTGTTTTTGTGAAAAGAGAGGTTTCGAGTAGGCACCTACAAGAAGTTGCAGCCCCAGAAGTATGGTCCTTTCAAAGTGAGAAAGAAAATTAATGACAATGTTTATGTTGTTGCTCTTCCCAACTCACTGAATATTTCTAACATGTTCAATGTGGCTGACATATATGCATATCATGAGGATGGTGTTCTTTATCCCGATCAAAACTCGGGGTCGAGTTCTTCAGGGGTGGAGGATACTGGTGTAGAGCGCTTGGCTGAGTGAATTGAAGCAGAGGCGAGACTCCAAAAAGGGATGCCGAGAACTATGTAGAATTTGAAGTTATGTTTTGTGCCTTTCTAAATTCCCATTTCCCTTGAATTTATTTCTTGTTGAGATGGGGTTTTAAAGCACATCTTAAATAGCATTTAAGCATGCTAATTACTTTAATATGGAACATTACACATTCCTCAATAATACCAAGAGTTTTTCTCTAGTTTTGGTGGATTCCGAAAGACTTTTTTTAGTTTTAGTGCTGATGAACTTGAGTACCAATTCGGTATTAACCACTGCTTAATTTCGTGCTTCCATAGTTGCGTCAAGCTCGAAAAGGAAAATGGGAAGATTTTTTGGTACGAGGTAGTAATATTTAAAAATATACTCGCATACCTATATCGTGTTGTAGTTGTAGTTTACCAAAGCTAAAGAGCCATCCAGGGCTGGAATCGAACCTCGGGGATAAGCCTGTCGATGGAGCGGGTATAGACTCAGACCGATCTGGATCCATGTTTTTTAACGGGTATGAGTCTACGTTTAATTCTGTATATCTGGATCCGGATCCGTACCCGTTATTTCTCATAATAAATGGCTCAAATATGGTATATGTGGTTCCACCCGTTTAAACCCGACCCGTTATATTACATTATTGCCTCATTATTATTTACTACTAAATATTTGTATTTATCAAATATATAATAATACCAAAATTTTAAATATCATTAAATGAGTTAAATCCCAAGAAAGAAAGTCAAAATACTATATTTTTGTTGAAGTTTTACATCTGATGGAGTTTAATTCCAACTACGAGTGCCAATCTACGAAAAGTAGGTAAATTTGGGTAGCGTAAGACAATATTATTATTCCAGAGAGAGGACCCCTTTTAGGGTATGTCCAGGAAGTATTTATAGACCTTAGGCTACAGTAGTCTAGGTGGAAACTCATATATTTAATACATTTAGTTATGATAGGAGTCTTGTAACGTCTCAATTATTGTGAAATCATTATTCCCTTAGGTCCATGTCTCTTCCGTTAGTTTCCTGCCTCTGCCAGATAGATATGCTCAAATGATAGCTTGCCATGTAAGCTCTAGGATAGGCCCGACCACACTAGAATCCCGCCCAGGCTCGAGGTCTGTTGTCCACATCGACCTGATTGTGGGTTTCTTTCGTGGGTTGAGTTCTTGATCAGGCCCAACGGCTGTTATTAACTATTAATCCCGATTGATGGGCTGCTCCCGTATAATGGGCTTCATTCTAATATGTTCTTGGGCCATGTTTGTGATCCATGGTACCACCACGAGCCCCATACTCTCTAAAATAAGTCGGGCTTGATTTTAGCAGAGTATCGAGCCTCTTCAAATTTGAACTTCCCTTTTGTTAATTGTAGCGCCGTTCCGCCTTAAATGCGACCATTATGTGACATGCACTTGCAGCCTGACATGACTTCCTGTTTGAATCCCAGATCAACAGTCAAATACAATCTGTTTAATAATATGGAGAAATTGAGTAGAATAAGAAGAATAATTCATCAACAACCAATACCGTATATTCATAATGATATAGTATTATAGCATGATACACGTATGAATTGTTGAGTGAGAAATCTAGTGGTGCTCTACGAGAATAATAAGTGCGGGATAAATTGTGTAGAGACTTAGGTATGTTTGAACCATATCTGTCTTTATTTATATGATAGAAGTCGAGCATCCTAGTACAATTAGAATCAGTAGGTGCAAGTGGGATTAAGCAGATAAAAAGCTTGTTTCTCTCAACAATTAAAAGCCTGCTAATATTAAGACTAATTGATCAAAGATAATTACAAATAATTTGAACACAATAAATAATGTTCTAACAGTTCCCATCCCGCCTTACGTACCAACTTTAGCACTTGAGTGCCCGGTGGCAATTCCAAGCGGTTTTTTGGAAGATGCTGCCGCATCCAATATATATATATATATATATATATATATATATATATATATATATATATATATATATATATATATATAAAAGGTACAATTCCTTATATATATAAGGTACAATTCCTTATATACAATTCCTTATATATATATATATATATATATATATATATATATATATATATATATATATATATATATATATATATATATATATATATATATATATATATATATATATATATATATATATATATATATATATATATATATATATATATATATATATATATATATATATATATATATATATATATATAAGGTACAATTCCTTCCAAGAAAACCTTCTAAAACAAAATTCTTTGCACGAGTCCCCAATGTTCCTGGTCACAAACCCGAGCTAGGTCAAAGGAGCGCTCTTCATCGTTTCAATTTTCCTTTATAAGGTCAGTTTCATGTCTTCCCCTGAGCCTATTCCTCTCTGTTTTGTTTTCCCCGAGGATGAGGGGTCTGGTTCCAGCCGACCCCAGATTCCGGTGGATTTTCAAGGTGTCGAGACCCATTTTTACTTATCCGGCGGTTTTGCTCACGGAGTTTCGGCGGTCCCTATTTCGTACGCCGGATTCTCGGAGGCGGCTCGCCTTGCCCCTTCGTCGTCTGTTCTCGCCCTACGTCGGGGCTGAATACGGTAGACCCCCACACCTCTCCATTTTGGAGTCCATCTAACTAATCTTGAGATGGGACTTCATTTCCCTCTCCATCCCACTCTTCTGGACATTTTACGCCATTACAGGGTCATCCCGGGTCAACTCACCCCCATTACGCACCTATTCATAGCCGGGTTCATTGCCCGATGTATCTCTTTGTGGATTAAACCATACATGGATTTGCTCCTCACCCTTTCCCACTCGATGAGGTCTAGTGCTTCTGATACCCAAGGTTTCTTTGCGATTTCCCAACATGCAGGCCATCGCCTCTTCGCCGCCAAATCTTACCTGAACTCCTTTAAGGGTTGGCGCGCAGTATAAATGGGTCTAGGTCACCCGTTGAACTACAAACTTCCATTCGAGAACAAGTAGGGGGAACTAATTCGGAGATGGGTCATGCCAATCCTACCAGAGAGGAATGAACCGGTTTCCAAGCTCATCGTGGAATGCTCACCCTTGTTTGTGGGTCATTACGTATGGGAGGATGGTGTGGTGATTCTTGAGTTTATCCCATGTCAGATTTGCCTGATCCTTAGTTCGTTATGTTTGGTATGATTTTCCATGATTCTAACTGTAACTTTCACTTTTTGCAGAGGGAAATAAGATGGTGACCCGATTGGAGAGGCTGGCGGCTAAGGCGGTGATGGAGTATATGACCCAGGAACCCCCAGCCCATAGACTCCCACTACCATAGCGAAGGCCCAATAGGCCCAGGAAGCACAGCAGGCCCAGATCACAGCGCCCCAAGTGCCAAAACAGCCCACGACGAACATTGGGGTGCCTTCGGCCCCCTGGCCGAAGGCTCATAAACTTACAGTACACCTTCTTTAAAGCCCTCAAAGTGTCTGGGACAGAGCGCCAAAAACAGTAGCCCTCGGCACCTAGAACCCTCGGCACCTAGAGGCCCCCGGTATGAAGAGCCTTCGACCAATCATCTACGGCCGAAGGCATCTCCTCGACAGAATCTCCCACCCACATGCACCGGATCAACGTACCGAGTACAAACATCACATCCAACCACCGCATTTAATGCGGCCACATGCAAGTGTCAGTGCCACCCCGTTGAGGTGACCCCTTGACCACAAGAATGATGACACGTGTCCCTATCTGGCATTTATTACTACTATAAATAGCACCCCTTTTCCCCATTTGTAATCCATGTTCAATACGCTCAACACATTCTCAGCAATATATGTTCTCTCTCTTACTTTTGCTCTGACCTCTCACTAGTTACTCCCCGCAGTAACCCCTCGGATAGATACCCCGGGTACACTTATCCATTAGGCGGGTTCCACCCCAGGCCCTATGGTTCTTGCCAGGAGGGTGAAAATGAGGGGTGCTGCATGGGGACCCTCATCTGAAGGATCAGGAGGGACCCACCCTTGGGGTCGTGGCTATGACTCTTGCTCCGCCGGCTGTTGACCTTCGACCTCTCCAAACCAGGGGGACAAGAAGTGGTCGACACTCTAGCCCGCCCCTATGGCCAGAAGGAAGGAAGCGAAGGATGGCAGAAAGGATTCCACGTTCTCGGTAGTCAACGTAGAGTTCGACTCAGAAGCCCACTAAGGAAGGCATCACAAAGGAGCAACCTCTGACGCCTTACCATACGGTCCGCTTGACTATGCGGTCAAATTAAGCTTCTCTTCTGTACGGAAGCGTTAACCCGATTGCCCTAGTCCTTGCAGTCATCCCTTTAACGGACGTAGATGAGCTCCGCAATCTGACCATGAAGTTGGCTCTGAAACAGGTTGCCCGCGCCATGTCTTAGGTAATTACCAATCCTAGCCTCTAATTCTTTAATTTTTAAGAATGTGTGCGTTGTATTTCCTCTGATGTGACAGAGCGTTGTACTTTCTAGAGCAGGGTACCTAAGTTCGGCACCGTGAAGAACCTTGCTGGTATAATATACATGCTTCTGCGCAGTTCCCTCCTACCGTACCAGGACAGAACCGACTGCATTCTGTGACATTCCAAGGTACAGAATAAGTGTATCACCTGCTTCGAGCTTACTGAGCAGGAGCTCTGATTGTAAGTACTTCTTGAGGTCAGTGTAGTCCATGTAAATCCTCTAGGCTGGTGGTTTTTGTGCCAATACGACATTAGCCAGCCACTATGGATATTGTACTTCTCTTATGTGCCTGATCCATAATAACATGCTCACCTCCCCCTTCACAAATTCTTTTCTGTCTGAGGACGGATACCTTCTTTTCTGCTTTATGGGAGTTGCCTTTGGATCTACGTTTAATCGGTGCACAACTATGCCCTGGTCGAGTCTAATCATATCTTTGGATCGCCACACAAAGATTATATTGAAATCTCTCAGGATCTGCACTATTTTCGCTCTTAGGTCGGTCGGCAGTCCCGTTGTGACCTAAATCCGGCGTTCATGCCTGGACGCATCGACGCTGACCTCCTCGCGCTCTGAGACAGGATAAGCTCTAAATTACCCTTCCTCATATTTTTGAGAAGTCCCGCTCAATGGCATTTATCCTGA